GCCCGGCCCAAAGAAAAAATTAAAACAATCAGGCCAGGTGAGGTGGCTCACGCCCGTAATTGCAGCACTTTGGGAAGCCAAAGCTGGAGGATCGCTTGAGGCCAGGAGTTCCAGACTAGCCTCAGTAGCAGAGCAAGACCTTGTCTCTACAAAAAATAGATGATGACATTGAAAGCACTGATGTAGCTGAACTCAGCTTCCAGGATGCCCGCAGTTGCTCCTCAAAGGTCCTCATGTCAATTCCCAGCATCTACTTGGCATCACCCACTCTAAGGTTCCCCATGCTGGCTTCCCTAGGTGCCCCAGGGAAAGCGTCCTGTCCCTTTAGGCCTACAGTGCCAGAGCAGCCAAAGAAATGGTTCAGTGAAGAGCAATGACTTCACCAACAACTCATCTTCATTGATGGGATACCAGGATTAGCAGAACCAAAGTCTAGACACTGTGAGAAACATGTCCTTCCAGGCACCCTCCCCAGCCAACAGCCAAACAGAAAGCATCAAGTCAAAGTTTCCCAATGCTAGGGGCAAAGCTGAGACCTCCAAGAGCAGCTGCACTGAGATGGGATGCCGGAGCGGTCTCCCATCAACATTTATCCAAACCCAGCCAACCTATGTCAATGCCGAAGGTCCTAGCACATTTTTAGGACCCTCAATCATGTCCCATGGCATGACACCTTTTTTAGTGGCCAGCCTCCCTGACAGGCCAAGCAACATGGCTGTACATGGTGTGGGAAGAACTCTTCAGATTCACAAGCAGGCTCACACTGGACAGGGGCTTTTTGTTTGCAACACGTGGGCACACTTTTACCACCAAAGGCAGCTTGAAGGCCCACTGGACGGCACACAAGACAAACAATACTCAGCATGCCGTGGAAGGAGCCCGCCATTGATAACACCATGGCTCTGTTAGGTACAGATGGAAATCTTGGCCCCTTTGGTGAACGTGGCCCCTGTCATGTGGAACCAATACACTGGCATGCTCAGGGGTGGTTTGGCTCTGAAAACCAAAGAAATCTCTGTGCTCCAGAGCAGCTGTGTTCCCACCCTCCTAGTTTCCCGGGGGACCAACTTCGTTGTGAATAATGCCACTGTGTCCAAGATGGATGGCTGCCAATCATGTATCAGTGGTGATGTGGAAAAATCAAACGTTATTGACAGTGTTCTCAAACACCAGTTCCCTCACTTCCTTGAAGAAAACAATACTGCAGTCAGCTAATCTAAAGGGGAATATGCATGGAGGGAGAAGAACAGAGTGAAATCTCTAGATTCTGTGTTTTTGTGGGTTTTTTTTTTTCTTTTTTTTCCTTTTTAAAGAATTCATCTCTTCTGTTTTCTTTTTTCTTACTGATATGCAAATGATGTTTACAATTCAGGCAGCCCTACAATGGCAGTTGTCGCTATTCTGCTCTGCAAAAAAGAAAAAAATTCATACCAAAATAAATACAGACCAGAATTTTTTTTTAAAGTTTAGAAACAAGCAAGTCTTGAAAGTAACTTTGTTACTTTCATAGAAACTTTGTATAACTTGGACTATTTCCAACGACTGCCACCTATCTATTGAACCACAGTGGAAAAGAAAACTACTTAGCCCTAATTGGAAAGGAGAGTTACTGTATTCTTCCATGGTAACTGTATGTGGGTAAATGGACAAGGACTGCCATCAATTTATGAACTTGTTTTGTATGCCCCAACCCTGTCCCCATCTTTTTGTTGCTTTGTTTTTTGAATGTACTTAAAAAAACAACAAAAAATTAAGGTTGTAGAATTACAAAATTCTTTCAACTTTAGAACCTTAAATAGGATGCCCTCCTAAGGACTTATTTTAGTCTTTAGGGAGTCAATGTTTATGTTGCTGCTTATTTAAATACAGCTCAGTTGGAGCCCCAAGAGTGCCAATGTACTCCCCACACATCCCAGATGCCTTTGTGTCTTCCTGAACGCCAGAAGGTGTGGGCACCTGAGTGGGATATCTCAGGTGATTTAATTCGGTTCACCAGTGCCTACTCTATTGAAGAATGGCATTTTCAGTCTAGAGAAGAAATTTATGGAAGGTTGTGTTTCCTATCACATTAGTGATAGGTTCACATTAGTATTTTTTAAAATACTAATTTAAAAATTTTTTCTTGGTGCAACTTATGCCAAGTAATTATGAAGACTTTTTGTTCCTGAGTATTGCCTGAAGGCTACAAAGTTGGAACAGGCAAAACCTGGATGTGAATGTTTAAAATTTATTTATTTATGAATGAGACAGGATTTCTTTATGTTACCCAGACTGGCCTGGAACTCCTGGGCTCAAGGGATCCTCCTGCCTCAGCCTCCTGAGTACCTGGGATACACTGCATCCAGCTACCTCATTTATTTTTAATTTTTGTAGCCAGAGTCTCTATTTTTCCCTTTTATGACCGCTGAAGTATTGTCAGGCCGTGTTATAAACCTAAGAATCGATGTATTGGTGGGACCAGCAGGACATCCAAGATGTTTTTGTGAGTCCTTTTTTAAATCCCATTTTGTACATGTAATAACATTGAGCAAATGATGAAATGTTGCTCTAGCAGTTTAATGAGGGAGAAAGACCCTAACTTCTGGACGAAGAAGTCTTTTCCCTCTATGTTGCAAGCCCTTATTGCAATGTGCATCAAGACTGTTACCCAAAGTTTTGTATCTCAGTCATTTCACCTGACTGTAAGATCCAAAAAATTTTTTTTGCCAAATCGTGCCTTTCCTTCCGGGGTTGTAAGAGAACACAGTAACAGTACCTGTTTACACTGTCATGTGGATGTTGTCACACACCCGTGGCTTTCTTACTGTTGAGCTAATCATGCCTTGTTAAGGTATGATCTACGGAGAAACCCTTGTAACTGTACCAGCTGCTGCTGTCTGTTGGAAAACAAAATTTTAATGTTTCTTTCCAAAAATAAAATAAATTAAAAATATGCCTTCAGTAAGTAATGCTTTCCCATTTCTGGCGAGGACTAAATTTGCTCAGCATCCATCTCATACGTAAAATTGTCCAACAGCGTCTGCACAGCCCTCTCCACAAACTTGAGAGAAGCTGCCTAGCAAGTCGGGCCAAGTGACACACAGGAAATAATCAAACATCAAGAGAGGGGTCCCAGATTGGCCCAGCCAGGTTGAGATGTTGGGTAACTAACGGGGTGGGGGACCCAGACGATGGGAATCAAGGATGCAGCGCTCCGCGCCCAGAGCCCAACGCGCCTGCGCACGGCAGAAGCGGCTCAGCCCGGGGCTCGGGGCGGAAGCGAGGGCTCCCCGAGTCACATGGTCGTGGGCGGAGATGGGGCAGGGCGCGGGACGTGGTGCCGCGTCCTCACAGGCTTAAAGGGCGGCGGCGGCGGGGCATGTGTGCGTTGCTGAGGCTGCCGCTCGCCTGGCACCCGACCCGTGCATGCCTGTCTCCGGCCACACGGTGAGGCCGGCGTCTGCGAATACGCGGCGGTGGAGGGCAAGGGCTCCCGCAGACAGGCCGGGCACCCCTCTCAGAGGCTGGACAGCCCCGGCTTCGCGGGGGTCGCAGCTCGGCAGGCGGCAGGGATCATGGCATCTCTGGCGGACCGAGTGCGGGGCAACGGGCGAATAGCCGCCGGGCTGCTGTTCAACCTGCTGGTGTCCATCTGCATCGTGTTCCTCAACAAATGGATCTATGTGCATCACGGCTTCCCCAATATGAGCCTGACCTTGGTGCATTTCGTGGTCACCTGGCTGGGCTTGTATATCTGCCAGAAACTGGATATCTTTGCCCCCAAAAGTCTGCCGCCCTCCAAGCTCCTCCTCCTGGCCCTCAGCTTCTGCGGCTTTGTGGTCTTCACCAATCTTTCTCTGCAGAACAACACCATAGGCACCTATCAGCTGGCCAAGGCCATGACCACGCCGGTGATCATAGCCATCCAGACCTTCTGCTACCAGAAGACTTTCTCCACCAGGATACAGCTCACGCTGGTGAGTAGCCCGAGCTTCCCGAGGCGCGCCTCTAACGACTCACCTCCTGGACCGCCTTTCTCCCCGGGAAATTTGAATGCTCGTTGTTTAACCTTGCGCCACCCTCGTCCCCATCGTCTTGAAATCCACAAATGAGTCATCTGTGAGCAAGTGAACGTCGAGCTTTTTGGGGGAGGGGGAAAAAGCCATCTTGGCATTCTATTGGGCTCTCAGCCCAGAAGAGTGTGCTTGTGAGAGTTTTATTAATAACTACCGTCTGGTGGAAATCTTTAAATGCTGTGATTGGTAAGGAAAGAAAGCTGTATTTAGTGGTGCAGTCCAGTATATCAGAATATCTGCAGGAGCTCAAACTGAAAAAGCAGCCCTCCTCCACCCGTGATTAACGAAAGGTTTATCATAAAATATGTCTCAGAGTATGTGTGCAGCGACATACTACAGAGATGTCTGCATGCAATAAAAGGAGACAAAAAAATTTAGCACTTAGTAACTTATAATGTTTAAGATCTTCATGCTTTTGTTGTATGTTTATGCTTATATATTGTTTAGACACTAGTTTTGGGGTCCATTTACTCATCTGTGTATTCATATGGTATTTTCTCGCAAAGTGCAAAATGCATTTACCACAAATTTAAAAAAGAATTAAATGTGAACATCTATATAGAGTTATCATATTTCACGTTTAGGAAATAGGATTAAAATTGGTTTTCTAAAATGAAAAGAAACATTTGTACAGGTTCATTGTTTCTCAGTTATACATTTATGATTAGCCTTGTTAGACACGCTAAAAGGAATACTAAATTTATGTCTCTTGAATTTAATCTGAACAACATTTACCTCTTTTTCTTTACAGATTCCTATAACTTTAGGTGTAATCCTAAATTCTTATTACGATGTGAAGTTTAATTTCCTTGGAATGATGTTTGCTGCTCTTGGTGTTTTAGTTACATCCCTTTATCAAGTGGTTGGTAATTTTTTTTTCTTTATGTGCCTTTTTAGCAGATTTCATAAATTTTGAAGCTGTATCCCAAGGTTTAGAAAATACAGTATAGAGACAATAGACTGTTGGAAAGAAAGCATAATTGCATAAATTGTCTGACTCAAGGTGAAGAGAAGAAAGGAGACAGAGAAACTTGGGTGTATGATGCTCTCCAAATCCTGTTTGTAAGTGTATAATACCCATGCTTAACAGTCTGAGTCTGGGGTGACATTATATTATTTGCTGGGAAGTCTTTACAAAATGAGTAGTAAGACTCTTTGCTTCCTAAGTTGATTGGTTATATTTATCATTTACTGTTTAATTATAGCATTGCTGTGAACGAATGAGTACATTTCCAGAAATTTGAACAGGAAAGGAAACTTCCAGATTTGTAGAATTTTTTTTTTTTTGCCTCAAAAAATACACTGCTGTTACAACTTATATTGGCTTTTAATAATTTGTCTGTATCAATAGAGTAATTTATACCAATGGGTATTTTGCTTCCTGTGCAAGCACAGCGCCTTGCCCATAGCAGGCATTCATTAAAAATTTGTTCATGGATTCACTTCATTACCATAAAATCCCAACAGATATGTTTTTGTTTCTTATACAGTGGAGAAAAAATAACTTGGTGTAGGGTACAGTGAAACAGTATTCTCTCTATACTGGAAACCTTGGTCTGGAAATTCTGGGTGTGCCTGCCTGGGGAATCAGCCAAAATGTGTAACCAATTTTACTTTTTTTTACAAACATCCACAGGTTATAAACTAAGGCATTCTTGCTGGGAATGTAGGAGTTCAGTAATAGAGCCCTAGCACCTTAAACTTTCTGGTAGGTGATCATCAGAAAGATTGTTATGAAAAAATATTGCAAATACATTTTTTAGTGGCAGAGAAGCAGTTTAAATAAAAGAAGAAAGCACCATAAGAGGGGAGAGCACCTACTCAGTCTTGTTAGTTGCTGCCATAATATTCTGTCTTTTACTACAGAGTAATCAGAGGAAGCTCAACTTTGTGCTTTAAAAAAAACTGTATTTGGGTCCACTTCAGTTTGTTTAAATTTTATTACTAAAGTAAGTGAACATTCCTATTTATATTTTTTGTTAAATGCACTTTTTTGCCTCCTGTGGGTTAAACATTTATTAAATATAGGAAGAAATTTTATTATTGAATATTAGAATTTCTTGTACTTCTTATACATAATTTCAATTCAGAGTACTCACTGTCCATGTCAATATGACTATTTTTGTTCACGTGAATCTCAAATTGCTATAGATTAGAATGAAAGGATTCTATATCCCTAGGGTAGTTATTTGAAGTAAGATTGACCAAGGAATGACTATAGACTAACTAATGGACAAAGTTTCCATTATCAGTAAATGGTAAAAGTACTATTGCAAAGTAAGTGTATTCCCCAAAAATCCCTCTGAAAGGAAGTTATATCTGTCCGTTGTATCTGAGTGTAATCTCTAAGTTATTTTTCTTATACTGCTGAGGACATTAAAAGGAGTTAAAAGTTGAGTGATCACTTATTGGCTTTAGTTGTGGCGAGATGGTTGAGTCATTCAGCAGACGTCTTTTTGCTTCCTGCTCACCCTTGAGAATACAGAGACGAAAAGCAGCTACAATCCAACATCGTAGAAGCATGTGTAGACTGCTAGTCAAAGTAGTATACGTACCTCAGGGTATGAGGAAAAGTTCTGAGGAACGCCAATGAGGAAGTCGCAGCTCTACAAGACAGGTGGCGAGGTAAGAGTTTAGGGAAAAGTTAATTTAAATCGAAGGACACACAGGAATTCCCTCAGCAATGAAATATTGCAGGTCTTTCCTTGTGTTATGTGTGAAAATATGGAGAACTCGATTTGTCTGATGAGGCTAGACTGTAGGTGCATTGTGGCTACACAAGGCTGAGGAGTGGGTGAGACCAGATGGCAGAGTCTTGAATGTCTTGCTGAGGAAGTGTGTTTTTATCCCTCAGGCACCAGGAAAGGAGTTCAGATAGGGGAATGACTTGATCATTCCCTGTGGTTGAGAAAAAGAACTGGTGGCCATGAAGGGTGGGTAGAGAGGGAAGAAAGGGTGGAGGCAGAGCAGTCAGGAGCCCATCTGAGCTTCAAGGGGAAGGGGGAGGGGCCTGGGCTAGGGCAGTGGGCGTGGACGGGGAAAGGGGCAAAGACATTCCAGAGACCTTTTGGAGGAGGCATCGGTAGGACTTGACTGAATGTGAGAGTGAGGAAAGTAAGGAGTCTGGTCCTTGGCGGAGATTATATCATTCATTATTGGAGTGACACAAGAACTTATTCGTGGAAGGAAGGCATGAGCTTGATTTTAAATAAGTTCCTGTAGATTATCCAAGTGAAGATGGCCAGGAAACTGTTGAAGCTGTGAGGTTAAGAATGCTCAGGGAAGAAGGTCAGAGCTGCACATGTTGGCAGATAGTAAGAGGTCGGTCAGGGATATTAAAGAGGAAGGCAGACATCTACCTTAACAGTAAGTGAAGGAGTGCAAACCAGAAGGCAGTTCTTCCAAGAGAAATTTGCAGGTTCTGCAGAGAAGTCCAGCAGGAAGAGGGCCACGTAGAACCCTTTGGTTTTGGCCTTTGGAGGTAATGGTGCCTTTAGGAGAGCATTAGAGGGGAGGCGGGCAAGAAGGGACAGCTGAGACCTGGGAGTCCCCTCCATGCCTGGCAGTTCTGTGGCAGAGGCACACAGCAGCCTAGTGACACGCCTGCAGGAGAGGAGGGCCAAGCGCATGCTCTCTGCATCCTTTTTGCTCACTGCCGTGCCCCTAGGAGTAGGCAGCAGAAGAATCAATTCTTTGTCCTTCGTATTCACAGAAGACTCTTAGTTATGGCTGGCAGGAGTGTGGTTCAGATTTCCTGCTCTTCTATTTTTGTCTTGGTGAATTTCTATAGACTTAGAGTTTACGTAACAGGATACCCAGACCTACAGGAACAAGAGGCGTGTAGAAGTGAGTCAGAAGCCTGGCTGTTCTTGCCAGATTTTATTCACACAGTCCTACTAATGTTTCCTCAAAGTCTCCTGTTTAGTCATATTTGTGAAGCATTTTGAGGATTGATGAGATATGAGGTTTTGAGGTGTTGTTGCTACTGAATGGTACAGTATTTTAGGGTTTGTGATTATCTAACATATTTAGGTATATTTGGTGGGGGATGGGGAATACTACCCACCAAAAATCATCTAAAGAGAGGAAAATTTCTTGTACTATTGATTGGGTTTTCTAAAGAACTGAAAAGACCATGTTCCTTTCAAGCCACACACCTTGGCAGCCACCTGGGATAACTGTTATGGTCAATCTGTGAATCTCTAAC